CTGCTTGGAATGGACAACGGTTAAGCCTCGCACGGTCCCTTTCATGAAAAAGCGCCACCGTGAGCAGCATCCGCGGTGGACGGCCACGGCTCCGCAGATGACGCAGCCCCGCTTCCACCTTCCGGAGGAGTGCTTTGCTTGGAAGGGGTCTCCCTGGGGCCTCGGGGTTGCTTTTTCCTGCATTTCTCCTGAAATGCTGTTTCAGTAGAAATAAGCCCACGTGAGACTTTTCCCTTTCCAGGCCTTAGCCACAAACGCCTTCCGACTAACCAGCGTGGTGCCGTAGCTCAGGCAGAAAACGCTAAAGCATCCGTTCAAGCATCTGAAACAAACGAATCAGCCAGTGAAATCTCATCTGTTAGCATCTCTTCTCCTCTTAGATTAAAAAAAAAAAGTGTAAAGAGCCTTTTATGGCTTTTGGTAAAATCATGCTTTTAAAAAAGAAAAAAAGAAGGTTCACTATGTTTTAGACCAAGGCCACGGATGTCTGATGGTCCACAGATTAAAGCTCTGTGGAGGATCCCATTGCCCTCCATCTTTCTGTACCGAGCCTCCCACGATGGCCTCAAGGCATGCCGGGCACTAGCGTCCTTTGCCTCCTGAACACCACCCTCATCTGCCCATGGCCACCTGCATCACCATCTGGTGGCCCAGACGCAGTCTTTCCATAATTCAACCTAACAACCTAATGCTTCATAGCCAGAAGTAATGGTGTCCTCCTTAAACCAAACTTCCCAATGCGGGGGAAAAAAAAAAAAAAGGCTTGCTCTCTCTAAAGTTTCCTGTCATTAAGATGGGCAGGCTCCCATCTGGGATGAGCGGGAGACAGAGATGCTCCTTGGGTCCCACCAGAGTGCAAATCTTTTATATAAAGGGGATTCTGGAATGTTGAAAGAAAGAGAAATGAACAAAACTTGCCCCACTTTGGCATCTTTTCTTTTTCGCGTCCAGGAGACACTGGGCTAGTTAGCGTCTGTCATCTACACAGCAGCCTGCCTCCAGTGGGGTGAAAACACGTGGCCATTGCTGTTTGCTGAGGAGGGGACAGTGTTTGTGGCTGCATGGCCATGCTCCTTTATCTATCGGCTCCTTGCGGGAACTCGCAGGTGACTTGGATGTAGCAGCAGTGGATGAAGAGCAAATGCTGACCGAACTGAAGTGAGCGTGGCATGTCAGAGGCGAGTGAGAGGAAATTAACAAAGGCCCAATGCAGCTTCTTTCGGGTGCCCTCTGTAAAGGGGCTGGAGAGAAGGTTGGTTCTAATGATGCGGATGGAGAGATGGATGGATGGATGGATGGGAGGAAACTGCACACTCATTCAGACCGCAGAGGCCAGAGGTCACAGGGTGCTGAGCTCCTCCAGCCATCCCCCTCTGTGTACAAGGCAACACTGCAGTTGGTCTGAACAGAGGGCGATCAGATGGAGCCCACAGGTTCGAAACCGCAGTGCGTCTGTGTGCCCTGGAGAATCACCCTAAGGCTGGGGCAGAGAATCGAGCCAGTCCTGAAAGCCGTCCAGACAGACTGCACTCTACACAGCACTCGCACGCGCACGCCTTGTCTCTACCTCCGTGCTCACACCGCGGCCATGCTTCATTCTCCATTAGCAAGCAGTCTTCTGGGTGTGTGGCACTCTGTCATGGGAAGAAGCAAGTCACCCCACTCTCAAAAGGCCATCCCCACGCAGGATTCCTTCAGGATGCGTGTGCTTGCCCTAGTTACCCTGTCGGTACATCTTGCCCCCTGCGTTCAGCCCCATTCCCCTGGCTGCCACACCATCATGTAATAGTTCATCATGCAGAAGGGCTAGCCTTAGCATGTGATTAAACAGAGAGAAACACATTCCATTGAAAGCCATTGCCATGGCAGAGGAAGCCAGAAGTGTAATCAGGATTATCCTTCAAGGAAATGAAAATTTGCTACGTTTAATGTTTGTTTCAGAATCAAAGGCATCTTAAGAATTTGTCTATCAAGATCATGAACGCGACTTAATTTTCTAGGCTGTGGACTCAATGTCAATTATAGACACAGCCTCAACTCCCAGTGGAAGCATATGTGAAAGTGTGTTGGCACCATCTAACCAAAAACGTTTAAATTTCATCAAGGAAACAAAACTTTCTATAAATAATAACACAAACAATGTTTAGGGGGGAAAAAAACCCTCAACATTATTTTAATACTATATCCGGGAGAGTCTTTTAACTCATGGCCTATATTTGTGGTGTCAAAAGTTGACCCTTCAACTTAAGACTCAGTATATGAAAGGCGGTAATTATTTACTAACGTGCTGCTTTTGCACATTTTAAAATATCAAAACACTATATCCAACCACCTGGGCAAGCCCCGAAGCCATCTAATTGGGAAGTCTCGGGGTGGACAAAAGCTTAGTGCGATAACCACACATCCAAGTGGTCATCATCCACGCCTTCCACGAGAAGAGTTTCGCGACACAGCTGATTGGATTACTGTGTGTCATGACATTCACCATCAGTGAAGAGTATGTTTCCCCCTCCAGCAAAGTCATCAATTTAGGTCTAACCCATCACCTGGACTCCTAGAACAGCAAGCAGAGGGCACCACGGAAGTCAGAAACCTGGTCAGCCTGGTCCTCCTGGCAGAGGACCATGTCAGGAAGTGGTCCCCGAAACATGGTGATCACTCCCTCTCTTTGCACCCAGCTTGGCCACACTGCCCTCAAGAATGTATGGTTCAGAGACCTATCGAGAGCCACAAGCACATTTTTTCAGCTTGCTTCATTCCCTAAGGCGAACTGTGACCGCCATCCAGGAGGGCTGTCACTTTTGCACACTGGACTGGCTGGAGCCATGCTATAGCCGTCCTACAGCCTGGGATGGCAACGAGCTGCCTGTAGGATGTGTGATCAGAGAAGGAAAGAGCAGAGATGGTCCTGAGGCAGATTTCAATTCCAGCAGCCCCCCTCCCCAAGGTTGGCCTCTTCTCCAGGCCCCCACAGCTGTCCCACAAGAGCAGAGGTTTCCCCACGAATCAGAGGTCACTGTCACGCAAGGTTGACTGCCCGCCATATACGCACACACACCCCACGTTCCTCATCCACTGTCATCCATTTCCACGTTCAGCAAGATCACAGACCAGCCTTCACCCTGGCAGTTACCATCATTTTGAACACAAAACAGCATGAGGCATTTTTCTCAGGAAAAAAAAGGAAAACTGTTCATATTGAACCTTATCAATAGCTAAAAGGGCAAACTTGGTAACACATGGTAACAACAGGGACATAAAAGCAATTGTAGTATAAATAAATCAAAAATGAGTAAGTTCTTTATCTTATCACGATTGACTTAAGGTACTCTAGGTAGCAGAGATGATCGGGCAACCAATCAACTTGGACGTTGTTCCTGACAGCTTGCCAACTCTGGACGGATGTTCCTCTATTTACGATGGGGCTATGCACCAAAAAGCCCATTGTAAGTTGAAAATACCATCAGTCCAAAATGCATTTAGTCCCTTGACAAGCCCATCGTAAAGTGAGAAGTTTGTAAATCAAACCATGGTAAGTCCAGGTGCTCTTTGATTTAGATGGGGTTCCATACTGATAAACCCACTGTAAAATGGAAAACTCGTTAAATCAACCCAGCGTGAGTTGGGGACAGCCTGTAGTTAGTGTGTTCCTGCTTTGAGCAGCTTTTTCCCATTGCTCTCCACCATTCCCCATCACCAGCATCAGGAGCTACCCTCCCTAGCACCTCTTCCTGCAGGTGTGTAGTGAGACTTCCTTTACCTCCCCACACCTCTTCCCCTCCTGGAACTTTGGGAGTACCAGGGTTCTACCTCTCTCCAGCGCAGAGACCCAGCTGGCATCCAAGGTTCCTGAAACCCACACCCACGACGGGAGCCTGGGCAGGGCCTGGCTGGAGGACGGAAGATGAACCAGAGGCTGGCCTGGGTGTGGAAGCCCCATCTGCACAGCAAGCCTCACGGCCATCAGGAGACAACACACGTAGAGACAGACACACTTCACACACACGTAGCACACACACACATACATGCACGCACATGTATACACACACTAGGAGGTGATGGATGTTACTGAAATGGACCGAAAACCAACAAGCAGTGGGGTAAGGAACAAACAGAAACAAAACGAAGCACTTGCGTTCAGATGGAAAGCTGTTGGTTCCCTGGGTGGCCGGGACTCCTGAGCCCGGGAGTGGGCACCTGCCTAGAGGACACTGCCTTTGGAGAAGCCTGGAGGGGCTGGGTGTGAGGGCAGCACTGGCTCCCCTCCTGCCATAGCC